CGCTGTTTCGTGAGCGTGGGAATGAAAATGCTGCCGCAGACGATGACATTCCCTCGATAAATTAGCGCAATATTGGACTTTTAAAGCGGAATGCTATTGCCAAGATTATTTGCCGGAGCTAGCTGCTTTGCATAACCTTACAGGCTGTTGGTTGTATTCGCGTTATTGCTATCGCTGTTGGACGATAGATACTGCAAAAGATTATTAACTGCCTGTGTTTGCGCCTGGACAGTTTTGGTCAATTCTTGGAGCGAACTCAGTATCTCGCAGCTCTGGGTTTCATCGCGTTGGGCTCGGGCAGCTTTAAATGCGGCGACAATGTCACTGAGGCCATTGCCAATTGCCTTCATGCCTTCTTCCTTTTCCCGGTTTCTTTTTCCGCTGTATCGTCTCCAACCTGTTGATTGACCTCCCTCGTTAACGCCGTTAACGTTGCTTCCCACTCCACTTGATCTATCATCACTTTTCACTACTCGTTGCACCTCCGTGGCCTGCTCAATCCCCAGCGAAGATGCGTCGCTTGAGAAGAACGCTTCTGCCCCCATGCCTTCCAGATCTCCCCAAACATCAACCATTGTGTCGTAGCATGGAGGCTCATTAAGTGGCCTCTCAGTAGCGTTCCCTGTGGCTTCCAGCGCGACTCGATACGCCGTGTATTGCTTGTGCATGTGCTTCAGCTGTAGCAATATCCCACGAACTTAGCAGGTTAGTGACGTATAATGTAGCGCTAGACTCATACACAGTACCTTTGACTTGCACTGGGTAGCATCAACCTCGAGGCCACCAATACGGCGAGTCTCCGCAGCTAGGTAATCCCACGCAGCACTCAACTGCTTCGAGTTCTTAGTGCCATCAAACAACCCCTTCAGGCTATCGAATCGCAATCTCAGCAGCATCTCAGCCGCATTTACTGTCCACGCAAATGGGTGCTTTGTCTCGTTCCTGCCTTGATTCCTGCGGCGTGGTGCGCTCTGACCACTGCTGGTACGAGTGTGTACCGGTATGATAGCTGCGTCGTCCTCTGGTTGAGTGGCGTCTTCAGAGCTTAACTGCATCATTCTCTGTTCTGCAGGAGAGCGTGGGGTTGAGGATGTGACTTCTCGATTCTAGGTTGTGAGTGCCGTGTCCACACATGGTATCGGCACCTGATTGATTTAAAGTGCACCTGGAGAAGGATACGTAGCGACACAGCTGGAGGTGGAGATCGTAGGACACCACAATCATCTTCATCTCCAGGCACAACGCGAACAGGCCCTTATATTTAATAAAGTTGATAATATTAAATATTTAATATTTTTAATATAACATGCATAATGTATCCCAAGAATCGCAAATTTTGCTCGCGTAGACTTGGGTTAGAAGGGTTAATAGAGGAGAAGTTCGTTCAACCTCAGTTAATCTGAAGTATGGATAAACGGTATCTTAAATCATTCCATTGAGTTGCTGCGACGAAATGCAGTATGTGAGTGAGGATATCAATACCGATCCATGTAAACAGTTAATCTTATCGAAGAATCCTTTCTTATCACAACTCTTAAAAAAAAATAATCGCGCGGCTCGGACAGTGACGAAATCGTTTACTGTGCGCCAAGCGACAACGGCTGGACACTTGTCACCCCCCGAAACGCGATCGAGGAAATGGACAGTATCAGTTGCCCCAAAAGGACTCTATTAATTGGCACGAGTGGAGTCACCACTCGTGCAACGAGAAGAACACCGACGACGAAGCCTGCACGTTTTGCCCACGACCGGATTTGGGGCGAACGAGCACGTCCATACCTCACCCAGGTGACGAAATGTTCACAGTTGTTTGAGAGAGGGCAATACTTTCGGTCTCCCAATCTCGATCGTGCGCGCTCCAGAATCGCGTCGCGCGGATACGGGGCAACATCCATCCACTCGTCCAGTTCATGAGTGCAAGACTGGGGATGTGGACCTCCTTTCAGATTCATCACGTCACAAATGCGGTCAATTCTGACCGAAGCTGTGTGCCAGCAGTGCTGTGACTAATTGTGAATGACGCGACCAGCACCAATATATAGCGCAACGTGGCTGACTGCGCCTGGAAATCGGAGCACGTCTCCGATATCGAACTCCTCTATGCAATGGAAAAAATCAATTTGCATCGATTTTTTCGATAATCCTCCATTGCAGTATGCATTGCAGTTGGCTCTTCAGGTGCAGTTTGGTATTGCAATTTTGGGGAGGCATGCAATCAGGTATTTTAATTGCAATATTCGAATTGCAATAATCTAGCGTTAAGTACGAAGTATCTTGAAGTCTACCTTGAAGTTAGATCTTCCTTCGAGGTCTTGTCCGTCCAAATTTTCTAGATTAAGGTATAGCGTTTTCGGAAGAGATTACTAGTCTACCTGCGGAATAGGTTATTTCTCAAAAGTGCACCAAAAGTAGCTTTCCTGAATCCTCTCAGTCGCAGAAGCACAAACACTTCCTGTGTGTACCTCACCAATCTCTACAATGGCTCTCTCAAAAAAAATAAAGCCAGACGTGAGCGTCGATCAAGTACTACTTCGACACTACGTGTCGGCCTCCAAGACAAGAATGTCACCGTGGCTTCTGCTCGCGGGACTTTCGACGCTAATCTGGAGGACTATCCGGAGATGAGCCATCACCTTGCACGAGACGCCTCCATTGTGCACGATCCTGTCTTCGAAGCAGCAATAACGAAGGTCCTTAACGGCACCACAGGAGATTTGTCAACCAGAGAGAAAGCTGCTATAAAGCAGTTTGAAGTTAAAACAGCCCTTCCCCGTCTAGACGCATTGTACACGGCGAAATGGTCGACCATATACAAGAATGCAAGCGCCTGAAAATGACGAAGACAACGACATATGAGAACCTCAGCTTCATGAAAAGAACATCCGTAGCAGTTGAGAGGTTGTTTAGTGCAGCTAAATACGTGATGACGGACCGCCGATCCCGCCTGACTCCTGGCATGTTCGAAGCCATTATGTTTTTCAAGGTAAACTAGGATTTCTGGAGCTCACGTCTTGTTGCCAAAGCGATAAGGAAGTCACACGATTGTGAGCAAGTGTTAATCGCGATTACTTAGTGCAGTTGAGTATTGCAGGTTTTTTTGCAGTTTATATTGCAATCTCATCGGTACCTGCAATATAGCATTTTGATTGCAATTTTTTCCGGCGGATAAACCAATTTATTTTTTTCCCTTCCCTGAACTCCTCCATGGATTATCTAAGGCAAAAAGCATGTCTGATTATATCAACATGCGCGTGTTTCGTCGGTTATGTGCAGAAAATGTGGAGAAATTCTGCAGAGTATAACAAGAGGCATATTGGACATGTCGTCTTCGATTGTAGCCATTGTAGGATACAGTTATCGTGAAAAATGTGTCCACACCGCAGTTGCACGACTACGTCACGGCCACCCACTCTTTCGAGCTCGAACGGTGGTAGCCCAGCTCGTACCAATTGATCCTTCACCTCTTTCCAGCGAGGTGGTATCCCAAGAAACCCCTCGATATCAATCAGGAAAGCTCGGAGATCAGAGCTTCCTTTAGCTGATTGATCACCCAACAGAACATCCAGTTCCACGTACACTGCCAGCAGTGTCAAAACAAAGCCGGCTAGTTTGTTGCAGCGCTCGTGGATGATCGCGTCAGTGTCCACACGTGCGTGCTTCGCGCCCCATTAGATGATTCAGCATCGTCGCCAGTGGCTCGAACGACTGGCAGTTTTCCAAGTTAGACCAATCCCATCGAACAACTCGCTGCAACTTGGAGTGGAGGTCGTGGCACTGCGAAAAGCGTTTCTTGAGGGGCCATTCTACGAAGCCATCTCGGCTTCTCAGTGTGAAAACATACTGCGTGTAAGGAGCCATCGAGTCGTGGTTGGTCAAGACCTTGTTTGCTGATGCATCGATCGTAAATCTCGCCACTTCCGACCGCACTATCTCTAGTAACTGCGTCGACTGAGTATCGCCACAAGATGCTGAATGGCTCAAGCAAATACAGCATTCAACTGATGTGGGGTCCACAGCCTCGACGTCTTGCAACAGTAAAACCGATCGCGTCAACTTTACCTCCATCTCCTTGCGCTCGCGAGGAATTTCGAGAAACTGTTCCAGACCAACGAGCAATACACTGAGGTCCACGCCTTCGTCAACACAGCTCGCCAGTAGCACGTCCAGATCCGTATACAGCGTAAACACCGAGAGGATAAAGTCCGCCAGACTTTGTCGTCGTTTCTGGATAATTTCATCTGTGTCATAACCCAAATACTTGCGCGGAAACTCATCTGCCACGTTTTGCCACTTGTGCAACAATGGTTGGAATATTTCTCGCTCTTCTAAGCAAGCGACACACCGCTGTCTCTGCTGACGCAACTTGACGCGAAACGCGTAGCACTGCGAGTATCGTTTCCGCAGTTTCCACGGCCGATGCGCGTCTTCGAGGCCCCTCAAGTGAAATGGCGTGTAAGGCACCGTGTTGGAGGCGCCCTGGATGGTGCTCGACTCCACAGCAATCACCAGCTTGGAGACTTCCGACCGCCTCAGTTTCAGCAGTCGACGTACGGTGGCTTCGCGATGTTCTGACGTGACTGATGAACTCATTTTTGAGAAGTGTCAATAAAACGTGATGCGGTGACACGCGAAAGAAATTGAATCCATGTACCCATTACGACACAAGACTGACTAAAGTAAAATCAGGGAAAATGACTTTTTATAAAACCTTCTTTAACTAAAATATTTAAAATGTTTATACTTTGTTTTGATTTGTGCTGTATTATTCTTGATTTTTTTGCTAAGTAACCGTTTTTTATTTTTGAAAATAAATTTGAAAGAGTATCTGTTATTTTTAGGGATATTCCTGAACATGTAGCACTTCATTCACGACAGCTGTACCCCTTCTCTTGGTTGCAAATTCGTCCACAGGCTTTTCATTGGATTGACGTGGCTGAAACTTTTTAACCATCTCGACTTCAGGAGAGGCAAATTCTTGAGATACTTTGGGTACAGGCACCTCATTTCGCGCAATCTCTTCGCGAGAGGTGGCTAACCCCAGTAGAGCTTTAAGCTGCTTACGTGCGCCTGCGCGTCCCTGAAGTACGAGATCTCTGGCTTCCAACGGATCAACTCTTTGTAGCTGAGCCAGCAATCCCATGATGAACTTGGAGATGTGAGAATAGGGTAAATCCGCGTTAATCCGCTCTGCGTTGGCCACTACGTCGTCCGAATTCGCAGCCGATGCAGTTGTAGGTCTCTCGATTGAATCTCCACCTCCTCTCTGGAAATTAATCACCAGTGCCTCGAGCATGGCGCGGTCAGGAGCCGCAGTGTCTGGGCTCGTCCACGCGAGTTTGTTTCGTTCGCGGTACTGCGGGAAGTCTTGTAGTAAATGTTCATATGGCTGGTGGTCCAGTCGGTAGAGTTCGGTTAGAGCAAGTGCCACACACGTTTCTAGGCGAGAAACACCGTAAAGCAGCGCCAGCTCGCCGAAAAACGCACCACGCTCACGAATCGACTCACCGCACTCCAGTTTTACTAGGATTCGACCCTGGGCGATGAAGTACATGCTGCGATCAACGTCACCTTTCATGGCTACTTCTTCGCCTTCGGAGCAAACCACGTACTCTAAACACACTAGTAAGCCACGAAGGAAATGCTCATCTAACGACCGAAACGCGGTGCCTCGGGCAGCAAACCCACGAAGAGTGGCTAGCACGACGTCTTCGTGCAAAGTGTGGGAAACGTGAGCCACGGCTGCAAACTCCTTTTCGCCTCTACGACGACGCCACACTCGTGCGTAGTATGACTTGATCTGTCGTTTGAGCTTCTTAGGCACTTCGTTCTCCACCAAATAGTGCTGCAATTCACCCAATCCCTGCTCAAATGCAGCTTCACGACGTGCCTGTGCATCTAGTAATTCGCCCTGGGCTCCAACTAACGCGCCGTAAATGTAAATACTCCACAGCGTAATTGCGATCTCCGCTACCAACTCCAGTGGGTTCATGGACAAGATGTCACCGTAAAAGAGCGTAGAGATGCACTCCATCGAGAACAAAAGCGAGCGTAGATATTTGCGACTCAGCGATACGCTCTCCAAGTAAAAAGTCGCTAACCATTCGTGCTGTATGTTCCACTTCCGTAGGTCCGTCGGAGATGAACGTCAGCATACCAGAAGTGGATAACCACGACGTTCCGTAGTGCTGAAAGCCAAGTTCACTAGTGATAAACCAAATGCACGCTAAGAGATGACCCATTGTGACGTACGACGCCAAGCCTCTGAGGTAATACAAGAAAGCCTCACTCGCTGAAATCTTGCGGTCGTAGATCAGGTACTGGAAAAGTTTCTCTGTCAACGACTCGATCCTGTGTGCGAGGAGCATGCGATTCATCCGTAGCAGCCAGCGGGTCGTCCACCAACAGGCATTAGCTGCATGTTCACCGGATAGCGAATTCTTTCCAGGCACCCTTAAATCAGCTGCGAATAGTAACAATTCAAGGGGTAGCATGGCGAAAATGTCATAGTGAAGAGCTGGGTTAGACGTGAAGATTCGTCTCCAACTACCTTGGTGTGAATTTGTCAAACTGGCGCCGACACTGTGGATTGTCAGAGAAGCATAACGAATTTTGTATCCAACATCGATGACGCAGAGGATGTCCAAGAAAACTTCAAAGCCTGACCAAGAGCGAAGGACAGACCCAGAAAGCTCGGTCAGATCTGTCGCGAAACATAGCTTGAAAGGGGTGACGATCAGGTTGTAAGTCGCTATTCCAAGCATGCCGAGGTCCCAGAGTCTGCCCAGTTCCTTGATTTGTTTGATGAACTCTCGCGATCGAGGGTCAGTGGTGTCATCCTGGTCGCTGGGCAGCTGCAATCCCCCACTTAATGAAGCACGCTGGCCAGTGCTAGTCCGACGACCTAGATCCAGTAGTTGCAGCGAAGATCTCATTAGTCTCAAGTTGTTCAGACGTTGTGGTACCGACACTTTACGCGCGTCTTGATTACGATTCCTCCAGCGTCTGTATCGCTGATACCACTGGAGCTGAGTCGTGTACTGCGGACGCTGGCATCGCTGGATTATCTCAAAGTCGATACTTGCGCGGCTGGCGTATTCCTCATGTGCTTTCAAGCTTCTGTCGCCCTCCCTGTGTAATTCTACGAAATATTTGCTTTCGAACAATGGCAACGACCTACTACGAACCATTCTGACTCTTGCGGTCGCCGTAGGAGCTCCAGTATGCTGCTGGTCTTGCAGCGCAACGGTAGAAAACCGACGTCTGGGGTCATTTCCACCCAAGCCAATGGTTTGGGCAACCATCGATATTCTAGTTGCACCGCCACGGCCAAAGTGAGCTCGACTCTCAGGCCGATTACGGCTCGTGATGTTATCAGGCGCATAGGATGACTGACGTCTGGTTACTCTTTTCGAATGATAAATTCTGGCATGCGATCGGTGCTCGCCGTGGACACTCGGTGCGATCATCACATGCGAAGAGGATGTATCGGGTGGGATGAGCTCGTCCATCAGTTTTCGGACAGTGTGTTGTACTGCGGCCAAGACTTTGAAGCTCGCCCAGCTCTCGGCCTCCAAACGACGCACGTGTTTGGTTAGCAAACTATCGCACACCAGCTTGTTCATAGGATTTAGATCAACAATGAACTGGAGAAGGTGGATGTCCCTTTTGCTGTTGCTGTTGGCATGATTAACAGGCGCAACCACGTCCCCCACTGAACTGCGATTCATTTCACTCGAATTGCCTCGGTTTTTGCGTGACATACTGTGACGGGTGCTGCGAGTCGAAACAGACGAGGAGATCCTTCGTCTTGTGTGCAGGGCAGCCAAAGCTTGCTGGAATTTGGTGACCAGTGTATCTGCTTTGAGTAAAATATACTGTGTCTTCTTCTCCAGTAGCTGAACCTCCGAGAACAGCGTCATCCGACTAGTAGCTTTCTTCGTTAGCAACGGCATGACCGACGGTGAGCCCGATAGTCTCGATTGTGCTCCTCTGTTTGGCGTTGAAGTCTGCTGCGTCTCACGGGTATTTAAAAGACGTTTGGCCTTCTTGGCGAAGCGTAAGCTAGCCCTTTGGTAGCGAAGGAGTCGACCGTGAACCCAATTGAGAATGGAGTACAACGCATGCTTCTGCACTAGCGTATCCGATAGATCGCCGTCGGTCGTCCATAGTTCTCTCCAATCGTGTTTAGTAACATAAAGCACTTCACACGACGTCGTCGCCTTCACAGTCGCCAGTCGTTGTTGGCCAGAGAGAAAAAAGGCGATCTCACCGAACAAAGCTCCCTCCATAAGGATGGCTACACTAGTCACTGAGGTGGCCCAGAAGACAGCCGCCACTCCGTTCCGCAGTGTACACAGTCGACTTCCGTAAGTTCCTTCCACTAGGATATTATCCCCTGGAATGAAGAGCTCTGACTGCAGACGCAACGCCAGATTATTGATTTGTGAGGGCGTCAGGAAGCGGCTAATGGGTAGCAACGAGATGGCGCGTCCATAAATCTCCAGCATAAGTTTCAGTCGAAGGTTTGCGGATAGATCATGAACTGTACTTTGCAAATCAAGCCCCTCCGTGTGCTCAAATTGCAGACGAAAGAAAAACCCGACGCGCTCTTGTAGCGTAGCAGGAAGATCGTGTTCCGTGGCAAAACTCTCAAAACTTGCAATCCGGTTCTTGTAGTGCTTCGTTTCCTTGCCCAGTTCCAAGATGAGCTCTGAAATTTCTCCTACGATGTGGCCAATGATGAAGGTGCAACCCAAGCACGTGATACCTGTCCAAAGCGTGCCTGCCGTATCACGAGGAACGCTTTCTCTTGACCCCACGAGCAGCAGCGTCGTTATCGCCCAATAAAATGATTTCGCGTAGAGTATTGGGACTGAATGATGGTACTCGTGTAGGAGATGGTCGTGAGCCATCCAGCAGTGCTCCACATGCTCACATTCGTGCTCAGATATCAACAGGAAGACACACCCGACAAAGTGAGCGCCCAGCACCAGAATGATCATCAGCTTTGCAGGACTTAAGTACGCGGACACATTCTGAGACGCGAAATGCTGCTGGATCTGCACGATAACGTCGTCCATATAGACAAAGAGATCCACACATCGGACTAGTCGAGGCAATCGACACAGACTGGCAGTCATGGATCCACTAGCGAGTGGGGCATAGAGCGGCAAGGACGCTAACAAATCCCATCTAAACGTCGAGCTGTGAAGGTAATGAGCATCTTTCTCTTGTCTGTCAAGAAGATTCTCAAAGCCCACTTCAGGGCATCCAAAGTAGTAAAGTCGTAAGTAAATATCCAGAGCAAAACACAAGTCACATGCGAGATCTGCGACCCACACGACAGTACTGATGCCGCTGGAAAAATGTAGATGCGAGTGGAAACAGATCCGGAATATGACGAAGAAGGCGTTGTAGATGTTCCAGCACGTGACAATTGCGTTCCAGGTGCTCGTAAACGTGGTGCGCGTCGCCTCAGCATCGCGTACCGCAGCTTTCCCGCTTTTCCCGTTTAATGTTACGGTCGTATCGTGTTGGAAGAAGAGCGTCGTCGTCTGCATCATGTGCGGCTGCAGCTTGAGTCTCTCGAGATTATTCACAACCCGCCGCATCCTCTTCTGCTGGTCAAGCCACAATACCTGAGCCTCCTCTTTAACATCACTCAAATCACTGGCGAACTTGCGCTGAATAACGTCGAACTGCTCGCGACTCATGACAGATGCGTGTACGAGTGAGGCAGCCGTGAGCGTGGCTGTGTACGTCCTTCTCAATAGAAACTCGCTGACACCGTAGCTATCACCTGGATGCAGCGCGCGTATCGGCACCTTCCGTATGTGGTAAAAGACGTTGACTTTACTTCCGTGGAGAAATACAAAAAACTCCCGACAGATGTCACCTTCAAGGCAGATAGTCTCGCCGTGCTGGAAGCTGCGATGTCGGAACTTGCCCGTAATCTCGTGAAGAAACTCCCCACTAGCCGAGTCGAAGAGCGAGACACTTTTTACAGCGTCAGAATGCAACAGAGAGGAGATCCGATAGCAGAGCTGGTCGGGTAAGTGCGATAACAACTGGGACTCATACGCACGCTTGTGTTCCACGAACTGGTGGTGATAGAAGCGTCGGATCTCTGCACTTAGCTTCTCCGAGATATTCATACGCTCCAATAGACTGTTGAGTGTATTCAGCTTCTCCACGTGGTGATGTCGCGTCGCCATCACGTTCGAAATGGTGCTTGACATGGCTCCCACGACGCCAAAATTGATGATACCGCCCACAAAGATCCACAGCGCCGCAAAGTAGCTCTCAGCAGTTGAGAACGCGACGATATCTCCATAACCTACAGCCGTGAGAGTCACGATAGCCCAGTAAACAGAACGTAGGTAAGCAAACGAGAGCTTGTACATAGTAGACGGGTCTTGGAGAGGGAACACTGCCCCGATGTGGGCGTAGCAGTCGTATTTTACCCACGAACAATTCTGAAATCGCGTCGCATATTGAAGACAGTCCGCCCGTGATAGATCTGCCATCTCTTCTTCAATAAAATGCTCCAACGCTGTTGTTTGTACAGTCCAAGCCATTTCGAACCAAATGCATCCCACGATATGAAGCATCAGAGTCACACCCAGTAGCAGGGAAAGAACGAGATGGGTCTTGGAGCTGATACTGTGATAATCGCTAATACTCTGCAGCAAGTTGGGCAATTCTCGCACCCGTAGCAGTCGAAGTAAGCGAAGTAGAGACAAACGTCCTCGAATTGTATCGATCGGTAGTGAATCAAGAGCAATTCCAACAGGTAGCCACACCAAGAGATCAAGATAAAACCCACTGGCGCGATAGGTGGCAAAGATCAAATCTGGCTGTACCACCTCCAGCATGACGCTTTGATCCATATACGCAAAGTATCGAGACCGAAGCACCAGGTCAGTCGCGAAAAACACCTCAGCCATCAGCGTAACTACATAACGCAAGCCAAACCCTGGCTCCTCGACGAACACGCCTTGGTCATCAGTCATGGCGATAAACACTGAGAAGAAAGGGACTTCGAACGCAGCGTACACGATCGCGATCAAGCGAGCAGTGTCCCAATAAATACGAAAAACCGAGCCTGGTAGCTGCCAGCTTACGCCACGCTTTCTATCACCGGAGAAAACATCGCTAGCAACGCTGTGTGAACTCCCACTGTGCGAGTTCCTTCGTCGGTTCTCGTGGCCGCCACGTAGACCCAACAGCTTTTTGGTTTTCTGCAGCTGTGTCGAGTACTTGATCCATGTCTCAGCCATTCGATCCCGCACTTCTGGCTCACGGCCTCGATGGAAATGCGTCACCGCTTCATCAAATTCCGTCTTGGCGAGCACGTAAAGCTCACAGAAAGTCTTGGCTACAGCCTTTTCCTCATACTTCTCTGGGAACAGGAGACAGCTATCAGCAAAAAAGTCTCCCGTCTGACACTCCTTTGCGTTGGAGCCGTTGAACGCCGAGAGCACCACTGTACCGCGAATAACAAAAAACATCTGAGCATTGAACTTGGGCTCCGTGATCTGATCACCTGGCGAGTACACCCGGCGCATAAGAGCGAGAGCGAGTAAGTTGATGAACTCGACGCTTTCTTTCATAAGGAAGCACACTTGCTTGACACGACTCGCCTTGAGAGTAGAAATCACCTTCGTTTGGAGGTGCTTGGGCATCAAATGAAGTGCCTCTTCGCTGTCAAGACTGTGATGGGTACTCCAACAGTAGCTGAAGTACGCGATCACCTGACGTCGCACAGCTCGTGAAATGTTCTGAGAGCGCAAATACTCGCGAGCGTTGTCCACGTGGGTCGCAAAGGCAGCGTATCGTTTATTCCGAAAGCGAAAGATAAAAAAGAAAGTTGCCAGAAGTGAAGGCCCGAAAAGCGCTCCAAGAAGCGTCACAACCAGCGCATAGACGGTCTCTCCATCCGACACTGGAGTCCCATCGTCATATCCAAGTAAAACCATCGTCCGTGATGCCCAGTACAGCGTTCGAGCGTACTTGCGAGCCACCGTCGCCCCGGAAAGACGATCTCGGATGGCCCAACTCGTCTCGACATTCTCGTCGCAAGCCTCAAAGGAGACGCCGCACTGTGCGTGTGCAATCAGCATGTACCCACACGCCGTGTAATGACACAGACCTGCACACAGTCCAATATTCCGTACCAGACTGTCAATACCTGTCGACGAGAGGTGCTGAACCCAGGATCGATCGGAGTAAATGTTTGCGATCCGCCCGAAACACTGTGGTAGTCGGTATATCCTCCCGAGCTTCGTAATCCGAGCCAAATGCAAGGTGTTATAAGCTCCCATCGACATCGGTATTACCTCTGTGGGTAGCAATCCGATCATCTCCATCGCCAGCTCGATATTCCGCATCAACACAAATCGACGTTCAGCGCTCGCGTCCTCCGTTCCAGCTCCAGGAATCGACGATAACGGTCCAATCGACGCGATCGTCCACTTGGCTTTCCGTCGCCGCAGTCCGCTAGAAGGCGTGCGGCGCAAAATCGTTGGCGTCTTCAATCGATTCGCATCTCGTGTCAATTTCTTGTTTAATTCGAAACTCACAGACGCCGAGAGCTGCGAGAACGCGTCCTTCCAGATCTGATAAAAGCTCACGAATTCCATCAACCCGACGACGTCTGCGACGATGTCGAGCGTCGTGAAGATGCTCAGCTCCTTGGTCCATTGATTCCTTGAATGTGTTTCTAACGGTTCGTAGTAGAACGCGATGCGGAATGGAATTGTCAGGAAAAGGTAGAGCACGACGTAGAGACTGACAAGCACGTGTAGAGTCTCGCGAGTAGTCCACGGTAGTTTCTTGTACAATTTGGTGACAGGACGACGAATACGACGGTAGAATCGGCGGCATACTCGAACGAGGTGTTTGCTGGATAACCTCGATCGGGTCTCGATGGTAGAACGTTTGGAGACTTGAAACCCGCCGGTCTCTGGAGGAATTAACGGGTCTTCGGTTGTGGCCTCCAGTTCGTGTTCTTGGAGATTTGCACCGTCCGCAGTAGCCGCGTACACTTTGCGATGAGGCATCGCCAGACCATCAAGTTAAATGACCCAGGAAAGGCTTCATATCGGACTACAAGTCGGTGGTTTCTGCCATTTCTAAGCCAAATATAGATTGGACTTGCACTTTGAGGAAAGCTGCCACAATTCCTTTAGTCATGTGGTCCACCTCTTGTTTCTACCAAAATTACGTTGCGTTGCGCATCGCGTTGTTCGCGCAACTTATTCCTATCCCCCTTATCCACACTTCCCTTTTTTTTTTCGCAATGGACTCATCCAAGCGCGTGGTGGACGCCAAGGCGCCGTCGGCGGAGCTCAAGCGTCTGGCCAAGTTCTTCGCGTCCGACCGGCCGCCACGCAAGCGTCTGCGTACGCTGCTAGATTTCCTGAAGCATCAGACAGGAGCGGACGGCGCGTCAGGAGGCAATATTGCTGTAGCAGTCCAGTCGCTTCTCTCGGGGACTTCCAAGGACACTACGGGCGGTGGGAGCGGACCAGAACATGCCGCAGCCATCGCCGACTTCTGGGCCGATGGCAACAACTCGACACTTGTCTTCGGCGTCGTCAGCGACTGCGTTACGGAGCTCGAGTCGCTGTACGCACCTCATGAGACAGCATTCCGGAAGCAACGCCGCAAGCCGCTGGAGGCGGAGGACTGGAGCGAGGTATTTGAAGGTCTGGAAGTGCTGCTACGCAATAATTCCGCCAGATTGAGAGAAGGATGGAACAATAATGGACTCACGATGCTGTTCGCCAAGCTGCTGAAGAGAGACAACCACGCTATGATCAAGAAGTACGCGTTCCGGTGCCTAGCGCTGTATACAGACGCCACAAGAAGCATCCAACAGCTGGCAGCCATGCCCTCGACCAGCACGTCGAGCTTCCGGGCCTCCAGAGCAGGCAGCATTCGTCTAATGAGCGACGGAGTTGAGATTGATATCGATGAAGACGAAGACGACAGAGGCACAGCCATGCTGTCACACACGATGCCAACCAGGAAGAACATGCATCTGGAATTACTGAGGGAAAGTGTGGACTTTTCCCCGTATGGAGGAGGCAGCATCATGCTGCCGGATAAATTCTTGAACGAGGGTGTGCACGTGGAAGGATGGATGAGACCCATGCCCACACAAGCAGAGGAACCGGTGGATATGCTGAAGTTCTTGATGGATTTGAGCTTGGAGAGAGAAGACGTGCATGGCAAGCTGTCAGCCACGGGGAAACCGAGCGGGAGCAGTGACAGATTCATCTTTTGGGCGGAGTTGATCATGAAGTTTTACATGCCGCTGCTGTACCCGAAGGTGTGTCTGAAAGTTAAGCTGAAAGAGGAAGGAGACACGCTGGGATTCTTCCACCATTGCCCTGGCAGCTTTCAGCGTGTGGTTGCACGTTGGATATACAAGTTACGGTCAAAGGAGGACTATATGGAGGTGCTCTGGTCGCGTCGTGAGTTCTCCGAGGTGATTATGGAAACAATTCGTCAGAGATTTGCGTATCGCGACACGGAGCTGGTAGTGGATGCCATCAAGTTCTACTCAGGTATCTGCACTGGCGCGCAGTATGTTCCGTCCGGGATGAAGACTCAAATGAATGAATGCTCGCGTGCCATGATCTCGCACGTCTCGCAACTATTTCACCCTTCTGTACAGCTGGATGATTCCAAGATCTTGCTGCATTGTATCGAATTACTGGAACTCGTTTCCCAACGACGATTAGATGACTACACGTCGACATATCTGCGGAAGTTTGTGCTGTCTACGATCGACAACTGTATTATGTTGCGCGACCCTGTGAACCGTCCAGTGCTCACGGCAATGCTATCGATTGTGCTGCACGTCTGGATGCACTCTGCAGTAGTCACAAAGTCCACAGGTGCGCAGATTTGGATGGAGCTAACTATTGCGCTTCGGAGATGGCTGGTCAATCCCGCAGACGCTAAAGTCTTGGGTGTCGAGGTGATTAACTGTTGGAAACGCGAACTTCGCTTTGCGAGCTGCCTACTCATGTATGTCATGGACAAGGGGTACTCGTATCTGAAAGTCACACCGGAAGGTGCCAAGTTGTTGCCCCAGGACGGAAAGGAGGAGAAGGCAAGTGGGAAAACTTTGCGGGAGCTGAAACAGGGATATCTCCAGTCGTCAGCCAACTTTCTCATGATGACGGTGGTCGACGTATCGGACGCAACTATGCTGCTGGATCGTGTATTGCACCTTATCCCCCCACCGACAGTGTCGGCTTTGACGCCGTCGATGCATTTAAGTTTGACAGAAGGAATGTTGCAGCTTGTGGAACTTTGGATTGAGTCAGCAATTGGAGCTCAGCGTAGTCACCCATCGGAGCTGCAGCAAATCAGTCCGTCAACGGTGCTAGCTTTATTCGGCGAGTGGTTCCTGCCTGCGTGCGAGCTGGAAGCGTCGGAATTCCAGAATTCTCGTTGCATCGCGATCGTGGCACTCTGCAAACTTTGCTCGGTGCGCTGCATCAACGCGCTCACCCGCAGTCATCTTACTGTTGTCGCCCGTGTCTTATTCAAAGGTATTACGTCTCCTTCGGGAGTGGTAGTCTCGACCGTACTGCAGAAATCCTCGGTTTTGTTCTCGATGAACCTCGAGGGTCTGAACATTCTCGTGCCTGCTTATTTGTACGCGGTTGATGAAATCATTATTGGGAACATCTGGAGTCGAGCTGAAAAGTCCAAAGTGAAGTCGTCTGAGTGGAACAATGAACTGAATGCGGCATTGGACGTTGTATTTGCTATTCTAGAACTGCCCAAGCGGTTCCCAGACCAGGATTTTGTGCGATGGAAACAGAAGATCATGGGTGTGTGCGGCATTGACGAACTCCCGTTGATGCAGGATATCATTGGCGAGATTCCAGAGACATTAGACGATTTCCACGTGATTGTTGGGCGCATTCTTGTGCGTATCGCCCAGCTTCCGTTTACCGATGTGGTTAACATTAAAAAGCGGGCGCTGTGGGGACTCTATTGCCTTGTCGTTATGAACTTGAAGTCGGACAACACCGGAGAACACGTAATCGACCCCATTCATTTGTCCGAATGGGTCGTCCATCTCGTGGACGTGTGTCAGAACATGGACTTTTCCATTTCCATGGCTGCGCTCACAATTCTACAGGATATGTCGGACTACCATGAGGAGATTAATGCGTTTGAGCCGTCACTTGTGGCCCGGATAGTCATGACGCTTGCTGTGTTCGCGCAGCAGCAGGTGGAAGAGGCCTCCATTGAAGTGCAGGCAGCGATGGAACGCATGGGTGCAGCAGACACGTCGAGTGAAGGCAACGGATCCGGCACCAAGTCGGCTTCGTTTACTGGCTCTAGTCTCACTAGTGGGACCAGTCTTTCGAGCTCAGCAGTGCGCCGCGGGAGCGATAACCCCAGGGCGAGCCGCGTGGAGAGTAATTCCGACAATACGGACGCGTTTAGCAAGCTGAAAAGCAAACTGAAGCCTGGAGCTCAAAACGCTCCTGTGTCTGCTCCGTCAGCATCAACGAATAGTCCAGTGAATCCCCCATCCAATTCCACAGCTGCCCAACGAGAACAAGATATCCCAGCGCTGCGTTTGATCGTCCAGAAGACGAGTGCGATATTCGAGTGTCTGCGCTTTTGGATCATGCACCGGACCGAGGTGCTTCAAGATGTGGACGTGAAGAAGCTCATTTTCAGTGCCATCGAAGCGGCGTTGGTAGGTACACTGCCTGATGGGGAGTGGCAGCGTGAAGTTGAACGTGCGCGTACTCTTGAAAGACGCATGTCAATGCCGCTGCTGTTCTTGGGTTTGCAGATGCGCGCGTCACTGGACAATGAACCGGGTCACGTATGGCTGAAATGCTTCGAGGAGACTGCAGTGGCTGCCGAGGGATTGTTGATGCACTTGCTTCACCATATTAACGGGTTTCCGTCACCTGCAGGAGTCGATCAGATGATATCAGATTGCTCCGAGTTGAATGAGCTGGATGCTGCACGCGATAGAGGTGACAAGGACTCGCCGCCTGCGGCTCTGAGTTTTGTATTCATGGATTCGATCGTGTTCAGTGTCGTGGGCAGTCTCGATTCGCCGTGTGCGCGGTTTATTGTTCGAGACATGACTGGTCTTTTCACATGGGAGATCACACCAGCCGTTATGACTCGCGGTGGCCACTCGCTGGTAGGAGCAGGCTCCAGGTCACCCGGTAATGTCAACGGGGATAGTGCCTCCGTGGAAAGAGAGCTGACGCTGCAGACCGATACACTCACTTCCGAGTCATTAACACTGCACCGACCAACGGGTGCAGTACAAGTGGAGTTTAAACAGACGGACGAAGCTGGGGGTACTTGCAAAACCTGTGACGGAGAGAAACCTCGGACGAAGTCTGCCTCGTCTGACGCGAAGAATGGACGTAGCTCTGGTACCAAGCTCGAGGCTCGCCAGGTCTCTTGGGAACACGAGCAGAACATCCTTTCTAATAACGTGTGTCCTATAAAGAGCAGCTATGTTTTCCATGAAGATGGAAGTGCTTCCTCTGGCAGCAAAGAGAACGGAGATGCAAAGAAAAAGGAGAAAGCACGATCGTCGGAGATTGACAAAATGCCGGGAAGTGGGAACAAAGATGACCGTCAGGAGCGACTTGAGCGCATCGCGAAGCAGCACGAAGAGCGCAATAACACCGGAGCGGCAGCACAACCTACGCCAGAACCCTCAAAGGAGGTCTGCCACTGTCCACCGCAAACTGAGTCCAAGTTCAAGCGTCGCACGACAACTACGATCTGTGGTCTCTTCGACATGTCGATCAACGAGCCGAATGTGGGCAGCTTGGATGACGAGCGCTGCCTTCTGGATCTGGTGCTGGACAGCATTCCGATGGTGTTCCGTGATTGCGGTGGCGATACGACTGACAAGACGCTCTTGGGTGGGCGTTATTCGATGATGCGCTACAACCTGATGGACTTGACGCCTTCGACAAATCCTCTTCTGATGGACTCAGCCGAAGCGCCTGGGTTTTCGTTTTTGCAACGCCTCATTCACGATGAAGAGTGCTACGCACAGCTGAAGAGTTTTCTGACCAGAGATGAAAATCCCGAAGGCAAGGAGCTGGTGGACTTTTGTGACGCCGTGAAGAAGTACGAGCGCTCATCAGCCCCAACGGACCGTCTCGGTCAGGCCAGTGTCATCTATTGGGAGTTCCTGACACCAGAAGGAGGAAAGAAGCTCATCTTCCCTCCTGCTGTCGTGTCTGATGTCCAGACTCAAATTCACAGGGCACAAAGTGCTCTGCGAGACGCTAGAGCTGCAACCGGAGAGGACTCGTCCGAGCTGTCATTCTCTCTCCCAGGCTCGCTATTCCAGCACGCTATGACGTTTGTAGAGTACGAAGGGTTCGAGAAGTCAGGACTATTGGACAAGTATGTGGCCGCGTTGGATCAACCACCTGCAGCTTCAACGACAGGAAGCAAAAGCAGCTCCAGTACACCGTCGATCCCACCCCAGCTGGCACTTTTCGACTCGTTCTCGATCATGGAAGTCAATGCGCGCGTATCACATTTGGCTCTACACAAGCGGAGCTTAGATGAACAGCTCGTGCGCATGACGAAACCAGGCGTGGCAGGAGGAACCCGTTCGACTGAAGTGTCCAATGGCAGTCTAAAGGATAGCCGTGTGAGCGCATTAGATATCTGCCGACTGTTCTTGTCCCAGGCTGGATTGTTACCATCTCCTGATGGCGATTCCAACAAGAAGTCAACGCTGAAGTTGCTTGAGCATGGATCGAAGTTGGAGCGATCCCTGAAGCACTTGGACAAGAGTCCGACGCGAGAAACCATGAAGATTGGAGTGATTTACGTGGGCAAGAAGCAACACTCACAGCAAGAGATACTTCATAACGAGAAGGGTGGCCGAGCTTACGAATTGTTCCTGGCACAGCTGGGCTGGAAGGTGAACATGCAGACTCACCGTGGTTTTGTCGGTGGCTTAGACACAAACCCGAAGAGTCTGTCCAATGGCGAATCGACGCTGTATTACGCGAGCTCTCACAGCGAAGTGATCTACCACGTGGTTACCATGATGCCCACCAAACCTTCAGACCCTCAGCAGATTGATAAGAAGCGGCATGTGGGTAACGACTACGTGCATATCGTCTGGAGCGACAACGCGACCCAGAACTACGACCCATCGACTATCACAAGTCACTTCAACGACGTACAGATCGTGATTTATCCTTTACGAAAGGCTCAGCGTGGCCTGTTCCTGATCAAGATCCATACCAAGGAAAAGGTTCCCCCCTTCGGACCGCTGCAGTCAGGCATGGTGGTTCACCAGGTCGACCTTGCACGGCTTGTGCGCCAGACGGCTATGAACGCGAACCGAGTGTGTCGCTCTCAGGTACGACCACTTATCGTGGTGCTTGTTCTCTGTAATTAATTCTCTAACGTTTTTCTGTCTTTGACTATTTCTAGACGATGTTGTATGTCCGGCCGTACCCGACACGGAAGAAACTCGTAGACGAAATTGTTGAGCGATATGCTGTTGAGTACAAAGAGAGCCAGCTACTAACGATGCTGTTCGGCAACTCTGCATCGACCCCTGCAGCAGCGACATCGTCGGGTGGAGCTGAATAAATGATGGACTGCTCAGCATGGACACTGTAGTAGATCGAGCGGCTGTTAACACTGTGTGGAATTATTTGTTTTTATGCTTCTGTCGGTCTTGAAGTCGCGCTACTCACAAATGATGGCTTCAGGAATCCCCCCAACCAATAGTATTATTTATTAATAGTTATGAAAGCCACTGGCGCTAGCGCTGGCTACGCGAAAATGTCGATCATTTCATTTTTCATTTGGAAGTCAATGAAGCGTGAGCGTGACGTAGGAACTTGTGAAGCAGAGGCTTGGACTATCCTGGTACACTGGCCAGTCCTTCGCAAGTCAAATTTAAAACCGCATCAAGGTTTTTTCTGTGAACACTTTTGATGACTCCGTCCTAAGCAGGTGGCAGATCGTCTTATAACGATCTTTATGGGAACTTCGCAATGGACTCATTTGTTGCACTGGGGCCGATTCTTACGGTACCGTATACCTGGTAATTATTTGTAAAGATGGGGTTTGGTCAGAAAAATAATGAAATCATAAAATGACCCCCTTGTCGCACCTGCTTGACATCGCTTGCCGTTCATCATATCCAATTTAAAGAACTCCTTACAAAAACCAAGATCTCGTGTGAAGTGGCTCGCCAGGCTTACTAAAACCAAGATGTCGTGTGGGCACATGCCAAACATAATATCTTTGGACCGTTTTGGACAAAAATACCAATACGAAAACCCTCTCTTCCTCCTGCTGGATACAAAGGAAGCGTATTAGATAATCGTGCTACCTCAAAATGTTTAATACAGTAAACAGAATCGTGCGACCGCCCGGAACTTTACCTTCAAAGCTGCTGTTTTAACGTGGATGGGGGTTTATTTATAAAAGTTAGCTCCATCAGGCTTCATTGAAGTGTCAATGCGTAATGGTGGGCGACTTAATCGGCCCTTTCAAGGTCGGATGATAATTGAGCATTTGGCTACGGCTTAGCGCTCTCGAAGCTGTAATCGCATTGCCAATACACGCTATCTTTCGCTCGCTTTCTTATAACAAGAGTGCTCTTACTAAATGCACTAAGAGACTTTTAGTGGAGCAAGTAGGAGAGAAATGATGTTGTCCATAGACGACATTACCGGTCACGCGATAAACGCTATAGCAGGGCATGGGAAAAATAATAAAATATCATTATTATGGGTATTATATTTACGGAATAACTGATTATTGCTTAGGGGTGTATTGGAATTATTAGTACTGCAAATTTAAAAAAAGAAATAAATCTAGATTTAACAGACTAACAAAAAACAAGGTAAACATATTTTAATTGCATAATAACAGTATTTTTTGTACGGAATTATTTATTATTGAAATCAGTTTATTATAATCTTTATTATCGAGCGAAGTTTTCAGCAGTATAATAAAAGATTTAATTTCCTATGTAGTACAAAAAAATTGCCTATATAAATGTAAAGCAGGTTGATAATCCTGACTTGAATTTCGAAAATTCTATCTACAGCTACGCATCGTTCAGCATTTGAACCCCGACTAACCTACCTCACTCATTCCTGGCCAGCGTACGAATCAACGCCAGGCTGAGGCAGTGGCCCAGCATCACTTGATCTGACGGTTAATGGTCGATTTTGACTTTTAATAGTGTTGTCTAAAAATATCCAAGCCCCTGGTTTTAAGCAGCCTCACTGTATCGTTTCTCCATAGAGAATTTTAGTGGCGATTTGTCTATTGTATTGTATTCTACAAATCAAGAAATCTTGCGAGCTCTCATGAAAAGATGAAACTGCTACGATACGCGTGCAAACATTGCCCATATGATAAAGGACATTATATGACATTTTAAATTGCATGAACAAAGGTATAGCTAGTACGATATCTTTTTTTGAAAAAAAAAGATATCGTACTAGTTTTACTGGCACATAAAGAAAAAAGGTATTTCACTGTCACCGTTGATTAATTTTCCTTTCAACTTGTAAAAGGAATTACCGGTAGTGCCCTATTTCGAAACAGTGACAGTGTTAGAAATGTCGGGTGATGCGCTAGCAAAGGGGAAGATAATTTTACTGTCCAACTGTGACTGAAACTGTCGTGGGCTGACCCGATAACAAAATGGATGAGACTGTTATCACGGAGGGCCAACCAATTGACGAGGTGTTTCCTAAAGCTTTGCGCTTAGTCGTGGTGGTGGCTCGCAGATCCCAGGACAAGCGAGCTAGGACATCAGTAGTGGGCACCTCGCGCTTCATCAATCTGAGAATCACGAGCCGAGCCTTCAAGGATTTAGAGCAAGCGTCGTCCTTTTCCATAATGCGCGGGGTGGAGGATGTGGTCGTATCACTGATCTGACTCATAGGTGGGAGTATATGAACAAGTGAAGGACGCCACTTGAAATGAGATCTTTCACAAGAAGTGTGTGCTCCAAAGGGCAGTCAAGAAATTGATGATTTCAGTATTTCCTTCGCCGTGGACAGCTTCAAGCTAACGTTACAGTACTGTATGATACAGTGAATCCCTCCTGCAGCAGACAGGGCCTCAAGTCCCGGTACCGGTACATGTACACACCCAATTCGATTTGGAGAGGGACCGCCTCGTATCGAAGGTAATTGGATTGACCTCGCAGAGTTGAGAGAACCAGTAAGACTTCATTCTGGCATCAGGTCCCTTCTAGGAGGGGGCATCAGTGCGTTATTGTCTGCGAAGGAGTCGAACGAAGAACGATGAACGTGCTGCCTGTGTGCTCAGCCGAATTCTTGCGGACAATCTGCCCGCACTCACAGCTCTTCGCAGAGGAATACAAATGGTAAGTGCACGACAGTAATCCTCACGCCAGGGGATCCACTGTCAAAGTCTGATCATCGAATCATGTCAATTGCGATAGGAGCAATCGAACCCGCGGCACAAAGGTAGGGTTTCCTTTATTGAGTCAATGTGATACATCAAAGTACCCCCTACGTGCTGCCATCGTAACGGAAGCTGAGGCCGTGTGTGTACCCCCTTGCTGCTGTGCCGACGATGTACAGATCCTACGGTAAGGTCTCCGGGCTCGTCAAGCCATTTTGGATTCGTCAAGTCATTTAGGATTCTCATTACTTTCTGTTTTGTTAAAGATGTTTTCCCCACTGCCGCCCTTGTCACGTGAAGCAAAGCTACTGTGGCTCGCCTCTCGAAGTCTCGGTGAGTCTCGACCTTGCTCAGCAAGATGCTGTGGCGCAATTTGATGCAGCCAATGTCCTGGTATTTGCTCGCTTCGAAGTAGCAAATGAAGCGAAGCTCCCATCTGAAATCTACTCGTTAAACGTCCTTCAAAACACCGCCAGAGACGATTCCAGTGTGGAAGCTCCGTGGTTTGAGGGTGTCCGTCAGACGACGGACCATCATCAAGAAACCCGCCTCACGTTCCTGTTGAACGGAGAGCCTTACGATAAATGGTATTACCACTGGGAGAGTAGTCCTCACAAGACACAGCGAGCTACCAAGCACGTGCTACGAGCCTACGTACTGTACCGACTCCCTTCAGGCTGTCAAGACACGCGATCGGGAGACCAAAGATGCTAATTGGCAGATGACAAACTCGATTTGCTCTGCTTCGTAGACTCGCCACCGTTCACGCTGGTGTCATATCGACGGTCGTCTACAAAAAGGTCGATCGAGTCGAATGGTACTTTAAGTGTGCAAACAACAGTAAGTGATAACGCAACCGTTCGTGAGCCATATCTTGAAGCGCGACCTGTAAATTCAGAACTCGAGCAGCAAATCCAGGACTACGATTCTCGAAAGAATTCGGAGCAACAAACAATTCATCACTTCGAAGCGATTAGTTGCACAGAGACGACGCCTCCAATGCTTCAAGCACAGCATGACTACGCTCGATATAGTCAATTCCAGAAGGCACTCGTTATTCAGCCAGACTGGGTAACAAGAGACAGTACAATTACACCAGAATACACCCGATTAGCATGCCCGAATATGCCAGACTCAGGAAGAGCATCAGCTGATGTGTCTTCGGGAGTATACGTATAACCGGAAGCTCGATGTCTGTCGGTTTCGAAACTTATATCTGCAAGACATTCACTGCGCTGGGAATATCTAACTCTCAAGACAAAGTGCAGGGTAAATAACCCGGAGGTAGTCATGCCATCGACACACACAAACAAAAGACCAAATCATTGAAAACTTGTTCAGCTAAATGCACATGCAGAGATACCGATAGCGTAGATACTGCAACTCCTTCCTACTTAGCGCACGCATAGTAGTAGCACCGGCAAATATCTCGAATGCCAACAGCATGTACATGCCACAATTGTAGCTATCGACCTGCACTCCAAGATCACTTTCGTACATTCGGACTCGGTACTTTCTTGGGGCGAAGTCTGGTAGCATCGTCACCAATTTGTCAGCAAGGGGGCGAACCTTCACTCCGTAGCTGGAATTCATCTGGTCGTAGACTAATACGTCCTTACATGTCAGGTCAATCAGTGACAGAGCACCAGTGATTCTTGCCGCAGATGATCGGAATCAA